GCCCCCGAGACTGGCTTAATGCCGCCAACAGCTTCTACAACCCCCGCAGCATCAACACAACCAACATCAGGGACAAGTGGAACAACTATGAAAATAACTTCATCAACACCTACCAGTGCAGCTGGTTCGACTTCTCCAGCTGGGGGATCCACAAGGGCAGCTGGTACGACTACTCCAGCTGGAGGATCTACCAGTGCAGCTGGTACGACTACTCCAGCTGGGGGCTCAAACAGTGCAGGTCGCACGGCTACTCCAGCTGGGGGATCTACCAGTGCAGCTGGTACGACTCCTCCACCTGGGGGATCCACAAGTGCAGCTGGCACGACTCCCCCAGCTGAGGGATCTACCACAGCAGGTGGCGTGACCACCCCAACTGGGGGATCTACCAATGCAGCTGGTACGACTCCCCCACCGGGGGGATCCACAAGTACAGCTGGCACGACTACCCCAACTGGGGGATCCACCAGAGCAGGTGGCATGACCACCCCAACTGGGGGATCTACTTCTGCACCAGGCTCTATTACACCGAGCCAGCCAACTACAGCATCGTCAGGACCTACTCCTTCCACAACAGCCCCCACAGCAGGCACATCTGGTACCACAGCTGGAACATCAGCAGCAACCACTGCCGCAGGGACCACTGGTGCGAGTGTTAAAGCTTCTACCACGGGACCAGCGACATCAGTGCCTTCATCAGCTGCTCCAGGTTCATCAACTCCGCGTGGTATGACAACTGTTGCTCCTTCAACCATGCCACCAACAGCGGCTACTTCAAAGCCAGCTGTTCCAGTCAAAATATGTCTAACTCCTGGACAAGGTTAGAAACTTCATATCGATGTCCTAGCAATTCAAGTCGTATATCACATCACGATGAACTAAAGTAAACCAAGTGGTAGTTTGCTGTTATTTCTTAGATTTACCTTAAATGGTCTGGAAACAATTTGGTATAAAATGTCGAGTTCTCAAAACTTTATATATCATAATAAGCGCAATGGCCTTCATGTGGCCGAAGATATACTCGGATACGCTCAAGATATTTGTCCGTGGACGTTATCTCTTGGCCTCTCGGAACAAATAATATCCATGGACAAATATCCGAGTATATTTTTGGGCCAAATGGAGGCCATATTTTGTATATTCCTCACGTTATGGAAGGGGAAGAGGAGATACAGATTTCGTCACCCCTGTCTTCTGTCGTAGCAACAAAAAAAGCTTGGTCTGAACAGGGTTGAAGGTACTCAAGAATTAAGTAGCAGTAATCGTGAAGAGATCCTAATGTTCTTACTTATCGTTTTCATTATTTTAGTATATGTGATAATAGTTGCCAAAGGGGTCATGGCAGCTCACAATTCAGTCCGTCGTACCCATGGCTCCCCTGCTCTGCAGCTTGATGAGCAGATGACCTGTGACGCTCAACATTTTGCCCAACAAATGGCCTCTAGAGAAGTTTTGGAACACCAATCAAGTTCAATCCTGTCAAGAAAGAGAGTGGGGGAAAACATTGGAATGTCGTGTACGCCTGCGCGAAACGGGCCCTTGAGCTTTCAGAAAATAAAGAGAATGGTAGGAAATGTTGCTAAGCGCTGGTAAGTGTGTAAGGATTTAAATTAATATAATTTATTATATAGACGCGAGTACGCGGCCCTGTAATATCCCCTATAAGATCCTATATCGTTACACGTGAAAATAACAAGTTATTTTCACAAGTGAAAAGATCACCATTAGCAATCTTCGGTTTCTTCGGAAATTTTCGGAAAATGTTCGGAAACGTTCGTGTGGCCCTCGAACAAATTTTTGAAATCATCGGAAATCTTCGGAAAGTGATCGGAAATTTTCGGAACATCGTCAAAAACGTCGTTATCAGTATGTTTATCTAATAAACAAAATAATACATGGGTACTTGTAGATATGGAATATTTCTCTTGTGTTCAACTTGATATCTACGCGCACCCAGGCATTATCCGCTATTTATTGTACTGAAAAACTGACCATTTGCACAACAACAACAACAACAACAAAACATGAAAAAGCGAGAAACGACGTCACAATGTCCTCACTGGTAAGAATATGGAGAATACGCCACTTGGGTCCCGGATGCAGTTTCATGAGAATTTTACAAGTGGCGTAGTTTCCAGTATAACACTTGTGTCTATATGATAAATAGAGATAACGTCATGGAAAATGCGAGCGTAGGATTTTTATTCATGAGTTGAGTAGTATTAGAAAACGAATGAGTGAGCGCAGCGAACATAGTGAGTTTTCTGATACGTATCAGCGAGTGAATAAATATCGCACAAAGCATTTTCCATGCTGTAATGTGTTTATTTCACATGTACTGAGATTTTTTCATGTAGTGTTTGGTAGACGAATTGCACAAATGGGGCGATGAAAAGCGTAAAAACTATTTCAAGGTTAAAATCGCTCGACAACAACTAAGTTAATGAAAGCTTAAAAAATTTCCAACAGTTACTGTGTTCATCATATTAATATCGATAAAGTCAAATGCCTATCACTAAAGGAAGCCATGCCAATAAGCTACGTAATGTCATGAAAATATGTCCGTATTTAGTTATCGTCAGAGTCACTTTCCAGTTCTAAAGGCTTCACACGTTTCCATCTCACCGCTTCGGAACTTGGCGGATTTGCGGCAAGCGTCGGAGACTGATTTACTGCGTTAACGTTCTCTTCAGTACGTTCATTCATCGTTAGTGAAATTTCGCCGTCTGCGTTGCTGATTGGACGAACGATATTTTTTTCACAGTGAAATTTTGTCGTTCATAATCAGTACGAATTTCATTCACTATGATTTTCGTGGGTAAATCTCAGTACCTATGAAACAAATAATAATGATAAACGATATCCAATATGAGCAAGATGCAATATGTTTTTTCATCTGTTATTCTTCTTGGGTCAGTGGACATCATATTCTCCTCTCATTTGTTATTCTAACATTATTTGCATTTTCTTTTTGTTCACAGGTATGATGAGGTCTGTGATTATAACTTTGACAAGCCAAGTTTTGCGCCACACGTCGGTCATTTCACTGAGGTTGTTTGGTCCCGCAGCAGAAAGCTTGGGGTTGGTTACGCCGTTGGAAAGAACGCCAAATTTCCCGGATATGTATGTGTCTACGTTGTTGGACGATACCGTCCCGCTGGTAACAACATGGAATCGCAAAGACTGGAAAAGAATGTCAAAAGAGGGAATTTCAACGACGCTTACTGCACTAGAAGGTCTAAAGCACCAGCCTTCACCCTGATCCCTGTGGACAAGAGAAACCAACTGCGAGCTAGCTACAGAGCAAGAGCTTAGGATGACGCGTGACAGTTACGTATAAATCTTTAACATAATCAATATCAGATTCAAAATCTTTATTGTCTATATCAATGCGGATGAACGACGAAACCTTCATTACAAAACTGGTCTCAGGAAATGGATAAATACCTGTAATTCGCCTCGTGTTAATTAATAAATATTATCACAGCGAAAAAACACATACATATATATCTTGCATTTTATTTAAAACAGCGATTTGTACATTACAAATTAAAGTACGTCTGAAAAACGTTTTTAGTGAAGCGTGTTTCATTGCTAAAACAATGCATACGACCTTGCATACGACCCGCGAGCATGAAATTTAAATTAACCAATCAGGATTCTGCAGGGTCCTCAAATGCATGTCGGACATATTTTCTCACTGGAGACGGCATTAAATATTCACGAAAAAGGATTTTTTGACCCCAAAAGCAATATCAGAATGTAAAGAGTGAAAAATATGAAACATTCTGTGTCTCCAACCTTTTAATTTAGCGCCAAAAATGGGTAGCCCGCGCTCGGCAACACGCTCTTCGATTGCTGTCGCCAGATAGGATAATAGTTGTGCCATTCTGGACATTTTGAACAAAACATGCGGTTCCTCGTCAGAATTCTTTAATTGATTATTAGAAGAGGCCAAAGAAACTTAGAATTGGCTTTTTTTTGTTAGCTGCGAAGAAAAAGACTATTATGGTGCTGTTTCAGTAGGACAGCTAAGTTCTGACTCGCACTGTGGCCGCAGCCGCCGTATGCAAAGCGTTATCTCTTGACTTTTTAAAAAACTTGACTTTTTAAGAAAATAGCAAAATTCAAGATGGCAGATCCAGGATGGCAACCTTGTTCCAAGGCTCTCTCTCCTCTGCCTCCCTTGTCGTTGAAATGGCGGGTCAAACAACGTCATTTGACGTCATATGACATCACAAGCAACAAATATGGAACCATTTTGTGGAGCAAGCTCGGGGCTATCTGATTAATGTAAATTTATTTCACTGTGCCTTAACAAAACGAAAACCCAGTGGAGGGAGGGGAGTCCATGCACCCCCTTTTTGTACCACGGTGGGGTTATGAGTTAGTTTGTGCGTCCAAGGGTTAAGAAACCTTACTCTGGGATAGGGGAGCTTAAGAGCGGTCTGCTGTAAGGCTGACTAAGGGTATCCAAGATTAAAAAGGTCCGATTTTCCCAAACCCGCCTGGTGAACTAGTTCTACTTTTACTTTTGATTGTTTTTGTTGTTGTTGTTTTGTAAAATGTTTTGTATTTTGACGTCGACGGCAGCCTAAATCTACGTCGAAATTGGTAATTCCCGATGCTTCTATTTAAACAGTGAAAACGTTCTATAAAAAGAGATTAAACCCAGGAAATGGTCATTAGTAATGGTAATAGAACCGTAAGTAGAGTCCAATTCAGTCTGTAATCATACGAGTGATTAACAAAATCGGACGACCGCGAAAAGGGAGTCCGATTTGTTCAATTATACCGCGTATATAATTACAGGCACAATTGGACGACACAATGTCCTGCTAACAATTAATCGTAACCATTACAATTTCTCAAAAAAAAAAAANTTGTTGTCTCATTACTCGTCCACAAAATGGGGCGGAGGGGAAGCGGGCGCTTATTCGAGGGGAGGGAGCCGCTTATTTTAAATTTTGGCCGATAGGAGGGGCGCTTTTTCGAAGGGGGCGCTTATTCGAGGGGGGTCGCTAATTCGAGGATTTACGGACCATGCTCCACAAGTATCGTAAGCCTACGGGCACTTTGGTGGATCCATGTTTTTGCCTTTATGTTATTTTAGTACTTTTCTTTTATGTAAATATCTTATGGGTGGCTTTAATACAACAATTTTTTCACTTTGGCCCGTAGGATATGAGATGATTACAACCAACTCTGCGCTAAGCACTTCGTTGGCTCTCTATCACCTGATATCCAACGCGCGCACGTAGAGTAATTATTAAATGTAACCAATCGTTTATTTGTTTGCTTTGGTGTTTTCGTACAGCTCAACCTGAAAACCAGAAAGAGTCCATGACAGGCACGTTCAGAGTTCAGGGTACTGCAACGTTAAAAAATGGAAAAATCGAGCTGGATATTAGTTTAGAAAATGAAATTGCCCCCGAGACTGGCTTAATGCCGCCAACAGCTTCTACAACCCCCGCAGCATCAACACAACCAACATCAGGGACAAGTGGAACAACTATGAAAATAACTTCATCAACACCTACCAGTGCAGCTGGTTCGACTTCTCCAGCTGGGGGATCCACAAGGGCAGCTGGTACGACTACTCCAGCTGGAGGATCTACCAGTGCAGCTGGTACGACTACTCCAGCTGGGGGCTCAAACAGTGCAGGTCGCACGGCTACTCCAGCTGGGGGATCTACCAGTGCAGCTGGTACGACTCCTCCACCTGGGGGATCCACAAGTGCAGCTGGCACGACTCCCCCAGCTGAGGGATCTACCACAGCAGGTGGCGTGACCACCCCAACTGGGGGATCTACCAATGCAGCTGGTACGACTCCCCCACCGGGGGGATCCACAAGTACAGCTGGCACGACTACCCCAACTGGGGGATCCACCAGAGCAGGTGGCATGACCACCCCAACTGGGGGATCTACTTCTGCACCAGGCTCTATTACACCGAGCCAGCCAACTACAGCATCGTCAGGACCTACTCCTTCCACAACAGCCCCCACAGCAGGCACATCTGGTACCACAGCTGGAACATCAGCAGCAACCACTGCCGCAGGGACCACTGGTGCGAGTGTTAAAGCTTCTACCACGGGACCAGCGACATCAGTGCCTTCATCAGCTGCTCCAGGTTCATCAACTCCGCGTGGTATGACAACTGTTGCTCCTTCAACCATGCCACCAACAGCGGCTACTTCAAAGCCAGCTGTTCCAGTCAAAATATGTCTAACTCCTGGACAAGGTTAGAAACTTCATATCGATGTCCTAGCAATTCAAGTCGTATATCACATCACGATGAACTAAAGTAAACCAAGTGGTAGTTTGCTGTTATTTCTTAGATTTACCTTAAATGGTCTGGAAACAATTTGGTATAAAATGTCGAGTTCTCAAAACTTTATATATCATAATAAGCGCAATGGCCTTCATGTGGCCGAAGATATACTCGGATACGCTCAAGATATTTGTCCGTGGACGTTATCTCTTGGCCTCTCGGAACAAATAATATCCATGGACAAATATCCGAGTATATTTTTGGGCCAAATGGAGGCCATATTTTGTATATTCCTCACGTTATGGAAGGGGAAGAGGAGATACAGATTTCGTCACCCCTGTCTTCTGTCGTAGCAACAAAAAAAGCTTGGTCTGAACAGGGTTGAAGGTACTCAAGAATTAAGTAGCAGTAATCGTGAAGAGATCCTAATGTTCTTACTTATCGTTTTCATTATTTTAGTATATGTGATAATAGTTGCCAAAGGGGTCATGGCAGCTCACAATTCAGTCCGTCGTACCCATGGCTCCCCTGCTCTGCAGCTTGATGAGCAGATGACCTGTGACGCTCAACATTTTGCCCAACAAATGGCCTCTAGAGAAGTTTTGGAACACCAATCAAGTTCAATCCTGTCAAGAAAGAGAGTGGGGGAAAACATTGGAATGTCGTGTACGCCTGCGCGAAACGGGCCCTTGAGCTTTCAGAAAATAAAGAGAATGGTAGGAAATGTTGCTAAGCGCTGGTAAGTGTGTAAGGATTTAAATTAATATAATTTATTATATAGACGCGAGTACGCGGCCCTGTAATATCCCCTATAAGATCCTATATCGTTACACGTGAAAATAACAAGTTATTTTCACAAGTGAAAAGATCACCATTAGCAATCTTCGGTTTCTTCGGAAATTTTCGGAAAATGTTCGGAAACGTTCGTGTGGCCCTCGAACAAATTTTTGAAATCATCGGAAATCTTCGGAAAGTGATCGGAAATTTTCGGAACATCGTCAAAAACGTCGTTATCAGTATGTTTATCTAATAAACAAAATAATACATGGGTACTTGTAGATATGGAATATTTCTCTTGTGTTCAACTTGATATCTACGCGCACCCAGGCATTATCCGCTATTTATTGTACTGAAAAACTGACCATTTGCACAACAACAACAACAACAACAAAACATGAAAAAGCGAGAAACGACGTCACAATGTCCTCACTGGTAAGAATATGGAGAATACGCCACTTGGGTCCCGGATGCAGTTTCATGAGAATTTTACAAGTGGCGTAGTTTCCAGTATAACACTTGTGTCTATATGATAAATAGAGATAACGTCATGGAAAATGCGAGCGTAGGATTTTTATTCATGAGTTGAGTAGTATTAGAAAACGAATGAGTGAGCGCAGCGAACATAGTGAGTTTTCTGATACGTATCAGCGAGTGAATAAATATCGCACAAAGCATTTTCCATGCTGTAATGTGTTTATTTCACATGTACTGAGATTTTTTCATGTAGTGTTTGGTAGACGAATTGCACAAATGGGGCGATGAAAAGCGTAAAAACTATTTCAAGGTTAAAATCGCTCGACAACAACTAAGTTAATGAAAGCTTAAAAAATTTCCAACAGTTACTGTGTTCATCATATTAATATCGATAAAGTCAAATGCCTATCACTAAAGGAAGCCATGCCAATAAGCTACGTAATGTCATGAAAATATGTCCGTATTTAGTTATCGTCAGAGTCACTTTCCAGTTCTAAAGGCTTCACACGTTTCCATCTCACCGCTTCGGAACTTGGCGGATTTGCGGCAAGCGTCGGAGACTGATTTACTGCGTTAACGTTCTCTTCAGTACGTTCATTCATCGTTAGTGAAATTTCGCCGTCTGCGTTGCTGATTGGACGAACGATATTTTTTTCACAGTGAAATTTTGTCGTTCATAATCAGTACGAATTTCATTCACTATGATTTTCGTGGGTAAATCTCAGTACCTATGAAACAAATAATAATGATAAACGATATCCAATATGAGCAAGATGCAATATGTTTTTTCATCTGTTATTCTTCTTGGGTCAGTGGACATCATATTCTCCTCTCATTTGTTATTCTAACATTATTTGCATTTTCTTTTTGTTCACAGGTATGATGAGGTCTGTGATTATAACTTTGACAAGCCAAGTTTTGCGCCACACGTCGGTCATTTCACTGAGGTTGTTTGGTCCCGCAGCAGAAAGCTTGGGGTTGGTTACGCCGTTGGAAAGAACGCCAAATTTCCCGGATATGTATGTGTCTACGTTGTTGGACGATACCGTCCCGCTGGTAACAACATGGAATCGCAAAGACTGGAAAAGAATGTCAAAAGAGGGAATTTCAACGACGCTTACTGCACTAGAAGGTCTAAAGCACCAGCCTTCACCCTGATCCCTGTGGACAAGAGAAACCAACTGCGAGCTAGCTACAGAGCAAGAGCTTAGGATGACGCGTGACAGTTACGTATAAATCTTTAACATAATCAATATCAGATTCAAAATCTTTATTGTCTATATCAATGCGGATGAACGACGAAACCTTCATTACAAAACTGGTCTCAGGAAATGGATAAATACCTGTAATTCGCCTCGTGTTAATTAATAAATATTATCACAGCGAAAAAACACATACATATATATCTTGCATTTTATTTAAAACAGCGATTTGTACATTACAAATTAAAGTACGTCTGAAAAACGTTTTTAGTGAAGCGTGTTTCATTGCTAAAACAATGCATACGACCTTGCATACGACCCGCGAGCATGAAATTTAAATTAACCAATCAGGATTCTGCAGGGTCCTCAAATGCATGTCGGACATATTTTCTCACTGGAGACGGCATTAAATATTCACGAAAAAGGATTTTTTGACCCCAAAAGCAATATCAGAATGTAAAGAGTGAAAAATATGAAACATTCTGTGTCTCCAACCTTTTAATTTAGCGCCAAAAATGGGTAGCCCGCGCTCGGCAACACGCTCTTCGATTGCTGTCGCCAGATAGGATAATAGTTGTGCCATTCTGGACATTTTGAACAAAACATGCGGTTCCTCGTCAGAATTCTTTAATTGATTATTAGAAGAGGCCAAAGAAACTTAGAATTGGCTTTTTTTTGTTAGCTGCGAAGAAAAAGACTATTATGGTGCTGTTTCAGTAGGACAGCTAAGTTCTGACTCGCACTGTGGCCGCAGCCGCCGTATGCAAAGCGTTATCTCTTGACTTTTTAAAAAACTTGACTTTTTAAGAAAATAGCAAAATTCAAGATGGCAGATCCAGGATGGCAACCTTGTTCCAAGGCTCTCTCTCCTCTGCCTCCCTTGTCGTTGAAATGGCGGGTCAAACAACGTCATTTGACGTCATATGACATCACAAGCAACAAATATGGAACCATTTTGTGGAGCAAGCTCGGGGCTATCTGATTAATGTAAATTTATTTCACTGTGCCTTAACAAAACGAAAACCCAGTGGAGGGAGGGGAGTCCATGCACCCCCTTTTTGTACCACGGTGGGGTTATGAGTTAGTTTGTGCGTCCAAGGGTTAAGAAACCTTACTCTGGGATAGGGGAGCTTAAGAGCGGTCTGCTGTAAGGCTGACTAAGGGTATCCAAGATTAAAAAGGTCCGATTTTCCCAAACCCGCCTGGTGAACTAGTTCTACTTTTACTTTTGATTGTTTTTGTTGTTGTTGTTTTGTAAAATGTTTTGTATTTTGACGTCGACGGCAGCCTAAATCTACGTCGAAATTGGTAATTCCCGATGCTTCTATTTAAACAGTGAAAACGTTCTATAAAAAGAGATTAAACCCAGGAAATGGTCATTAGTAATGGTAATAGAACCGTAAGTAGAGTCCAATTCAGTCTGTAATCATACGAGTGATTAACAAAATCGGACGACCGCGAAAAGGGAGTCCGATTTGTTCAATTATACCGCGTATATAATTACAGGCACAATTGGACGACACAATGTCCTGCTAACAATTAATCGTAACCATTACAATTTCTCAAAAAAAAAAAAATTCATTTAACAAAGTAGCAAAATATGATGATTACGAGTTCCGAAAAATAAATTATAGACCATAGTTAGAAAATGGCTTTTAATGTTCCCTTGGAAACAGCCACCAAAGTTATGGCAATGTTACAAAATCTCTCCTGTGGATTAGTTACCATAGTGACTGGAATCACTGTTGTAATTTGCGAATTTAGCTTAAAGGACTTAAAATGATTGGCGTCGTGTAACTGTCCGTTTCAGGTGTCCGGTTACAGCTATCTGTCTGATTACAACTTTGCAGTTTAAGGTGACTCCTTAGTATTGCATTGCACATTCCTACTGGGGCACGATTTTCGCGTCATTAGCGCGCGTACATGAGAGCGTGCGCGCACAAAACGTAAGAGATTTCCCTCAAACTTAGCTCGATAGCGAAATAAATGCTCCTTTTCTCTTAAACGAGCACGGTGACCTCAACTTTTTATTTCATAATTTCAATGAGAACAATATCCTCAATTACTGAGAAAAAATTAGCAGAAATCTATGGCTACTTTTTTGGCAAATGAAATAAGTACTACAGAGGGAGACATAACGGGCTCAACAGCGCATGTCCTGATTATGTTTCCTTTAAAGGATAAAAAATTTAGGTTATTTGAATACATTTTTTCTGGGACGTAGATGAAGAAACAGTCAAAGAAAGTCAAACTCTGTGTGATATAGCACGCTGCATTGAGCTTATTTTTGGGCAAAGAAATTACCAAAATTCACTTAAACAACCATATTTTCAGCATTTTGGCGTGAAAACAAACACGGTGACCCCCTCTTTTTATTACCTTTTTAATATCTCCTTGTCCTGTAATATAACAACAGCATACCAAGTTTCATCGGAAATCTATGGCGGGTTCTTTTACTAGGGAATCACCTTAATTAGTACAAAATACCGCATATAATGAATGTTAATGGTAAAATGGAATTTTTGACGGAATTTTAACCCATTGACTCCCGTGCCGCCCGTAACCGGCCGTGACGAGCGTTGGCCTTTGTTGCACTTCTGACGTCATCACCTTTAACCAAAATTGGCATCATCTATACGCAAGTTCTACAGAAGGAAAATATCTTTCTAATGATATCCAGATCAGACTGATCGACTCAATGGAGCCCAAAATATGCACGAAAATGTTCAGAAATTTAAGTGAGAAACTTCCTGCGACTTCACTTAGCTACTCCATGGTAATTAAAAAGTGTTCCACCATGGACTGTTTTAAATCAAGATTAAAAACTTCTCTTTTTAAGAGAGCGTTCTCAGATTAGGGCTTTTTGATTAAGGTTTTATGTAAGAGGTCAGCGCCAACCAAAAGACACGTGGGCTCTGGGAACGAGATTGCCATGCTGTAAACCAAGGCACGCATGCGCCGTGAAACCGGAACTCCTAAAATCTTGGAGTCTGGATATTGATTATTCCGATCCAGAGCTCCGTGTCTTGGCGCCGACCAAAAGACACGTGGGCTCTGGGAACGAGATTGAACACGATGCTAGTGGAAAGAAAGGCATACTGTCATGTTGCAAATGCCTTTTTGAGAAGATTGGGGCTAATTTGGCCCAGATCCAGGCTGAAAAGCTCCAAAATGTCCGTTTTTGGCAAATGTACGTTTTTGGCAAAAATTTCTTGGAGTCAATGGGTTAATCACAAGACCAAAGTTTTCAAAAGCTGAGTCCTTTTGTGATAAATTTGGGAAATCTGTCCAAACAAGGTAAAAAACGCAAGGAATTCCGGAAAATTGGATTTAAAAGTGTTTTGTTAATGGCAAAATTTTTAATATTATGCACTTTGAAAGAGATTACCACAACTGAAGTTAAGTAGCAACAGAACATAGGAATCCTGCTTTGTCTTCATTTTGTTTTATTCAAACTGTGCAGTAAATTTCTGACTATAACGTACGTCATTATTTTGCAGAACAGAATAATATTAAAAGGACATAGTACCTTGAACAATACTCAAAAATAACAACTTTCATCGATAACAGCCCTTTAAAAACATAGTACTGAACAATGTCACTTTGCTCATCATCGCTTTTTCCAGTGAATGGATGCATTCAAGTAAAGAAAGATTATTTTTGACTAGGCCTGTAAACACCAGCAAAACTACACTGAACAAAGGAGAAACTGATTCATCGCTGAAACAAAGAAGAAAGGCAAAGACGAATGGAATGCCCACCATCTCAACAAAGGGAGAGATCCTCGACCATACCTTCGAGTTACTATACTGGCATTTGCTGCTGCCTGTCACGGTTAATCCTTCTGACGCGATGAATTAAGAATTCCTTTATGTGCCTAGCTAGACTCTCCAGGTTTTGCAAAAATCATGTGAAAAGAACTCAGCATCTAAAACTCCTATAAATACTCGCATGTCATGGAACCAATATATCGCAATGCTATCCCGTTCATGATGTTTGTTTGGTAGCTGAAACCACGATAAGCTTGGGATTTGTCCGTAATAACTAATATAATCAACCATTAATTAGAATTTGCCAACATAACAAACTCTAATCGGTTTTCAGCTGTTCTCTTATATTAGCTTGCTTCTCTACTTTTCTCACCTACATGTCGAAAAGTGAGCTGCTCTTTCCAGTTAAAATTAATTTAACCTAATTTTTGTCCGATAAACCGGCAACATTCCAACAGTTACCTTCCTACCAACACTTCCGTGTTTCTCTGGGTGAAAGACTTTCCTGCAAAGTTTACGAGCACGAAGCAAGTCATTGACATGGTAACCCAGTTACTATTTGTAATGAGTGTAAAGCACGCCGCAGTTGACTATCCTCTTGGTGAATCTGGAGCCTTCACTCCCCTCACTCCGACCAAGATTTTCAACGACAGTCGGGTGCCACCAGGAACTTTTTCCGTGTTTAATCCGTGTTCAATAATAATAATAATAATAATAATAATAATAATAATAATAATAATAATAATAATAACAATAATAATAATGATGATGATGATGATGACTTTATCATCTTGTCAATTACATCTAGCAGTAGAGAATCCCCACTGCTAATAGGGGACACCTAACTAGAATTATCAAAAAAAATATACAGGAAATTCCTATAAGAAGAATTAAAATTATGAGTTACAAAGATGGTAGCCACTACATCCATCTAGGATGTTGCCTAGATCTAGCCTCCGTACGTGGGTCTTAAACTGCTTGAGATCATCGCCGATCTTTCTTTACTTGTCCAAACTGAACATATCCGATCGCCAGATTCAATCGCTCAATGTTTCGTAAGGGCTGCTGCTTAATAATAACAAGATGTTGCTTAATCTCTGCTGTCTTAGTATGTAGAATCTGCTCAAAAACTGGCTTTCTTTTGTTCGACCTAGTAGTACTTTCCCAAATGTAGTCAAGTGCACGTACTCACAATGTTATATGAATCGTTTGACATCATTGAGAACTCATATACATTAGGCTGAACGTTTCCCTGCCACTAATTAAGCGTTAAATTAAAAGAAATACGAAATGTGTTTGGCTACTCTGCATACTCGTGAATGCCATATTATAAACGCCTATTTCCCTATGATGGTCAACACGATCGGGTATTCTACATTGAAAATTCAGAATTGAATGGAGAATTTTAGTTTTATTGCAATGCGTCAGGGGCACCCAACGGATCGTTTCGGTAAATTATCTGTTCGGAAGGCCTTTAATCCCCTCTGATTTTCTTGAGAGAATTGGCACCTCGAACTTTCGTGACATGATAAATTTAATGTCTGTTGTTTTCGGACTGTTGAAAATGTCGTTTTGAGTACCGAAAAAAGGTCAGCTATCATTTNTAAATTCGAGAATACTCAAGTTCCCCTAGAATATCCGAACAGATAAAATTTTTTTAGTGCAACCTAAAATTAACCTACAGAGCTTTAAAAGTACTCCAGATAGCCTAAAACAGCATCTAACAGCATTAGAGAGAAAACGCTCGTTGGGTGCCCCTGATGCGTTTGTCTTTGCCTCTTGAGTCAACCGAAACAATAAGTGGTGATTTGGCCCAATCATTGGCAAATGTTGCTATGAAAGCATAGCAAGACTGTAGCAATCTATCATTTCTAATTTACAGAATAGTATTCAGTCTAAATATTTTTTTGCTTTACTAGGTTTCCGAATTGTGCAAATTTTAAAAACAATTGAAATCACAAACTGTGGACATTAAAGACTCCTTCTGTTCCATGGATATATTCAAGTTATTTGATATTTTTCGGCAAAATTAAAAGCAAATGCATTAAGCTTCATCACTGTCAAGTTTCACTTTTTTTATGTGCTTAAATTGTAAAAAGCTATCCACTTAGCAAAAGCGTTAAGTGGATTCGAAGTCAATATGTGCTTTAAATTCCATCTGCGTTTTTTTCCCGTATATACAATGATTTTATTATGCAATATATCTAGCTCTTCTTAAGATGAATAATCTGGGTATTCCACAGTCACTCTGCTAAACTTTCAACTCAAAGCTAAGACAAAATTATATACATAATCAGGAGCCGAAGGTCAAGGACTTCTGACATTATTTCATTCACCTTTTGTATTTACGAGAGCACTTTGATTTCTTGAATTTCTGGCTTAAGTAACGCAATATCTCAATGTCTGCAAAAATCTACATAAAAGAAGACTTAAGCACGAGATTTCCTTAAAGTTTAGATTCCATATAAAAGGCATCTGAATGACAGGCTGAAAAAGCGTTGTGGGTTCCATCACCTCTGGCTTCCGTTGAACTCTGAATTGCAACAACGTCACTCATTCTTAAGGTTGGGGAAGCAGTCTTCAAAATTTTATAATGAAGAATTGGATTTGATGCATATGCAAAACCTGTAAAAGCAGTCGTTAGCAGTTTCAGGGAAAGCGTAAGTTCCGACCCAGGAGCAAAAAATCGAGTAGTAATGTGACAGATTATTACTGGAAACCAGGACAGAATGAAAATAGCACCTGTTTTGTAAGTAAGTTTGGTAATTTGCGATTCGTACCTCCGATGTAGGGACCGGGACTGAGGTAAAGGCGACGAGCGAAGTCCGCTTACGACGCGAATGAATGTCACCATGATAATAAGAATGGCCGAAACATTAAAAACTGTGCCAAAGATGGTGATGTAAGCGTTAAAGAAACCTCTCGATGTGGAATAATGAGATATTAAATTGAAGGGATCGTATTGAGGGCACTGCGATTCGTCTATACTAAGCAGTATAGCAAAGACCGCAAATATAATTATAGCCATCAACCAGACAATTAGGAGAACTTTTTTCACGTTGTCAGGATGTAAACGCCGCCGGAGAGGACGACAAATGCAGTCTTGGCGATCCATCGCCATTAGTGACAATGTTATGGCGTTGACGGTACTGCAGAAGAATGATAGTACCAGACGAATTTTACACAGAACAGGAAGCTCGATCCCGTCTTGTTGTTTCATAAAGTATGTTCTTGCTGCGATTGATATAACGATTGGCATCACCACAACTGAGGACAACAATCCGATCGCCGACAGGTTAGCAAGCAAAAAGTGTGGAACTTTCCTAAGGTCACGCCGTCTTTCCAGTAAGAGAAAAACTTTGGCGTTTCCGTAAGTACCAGCGGCAAGAAAAACTGCTGTCAGAACAAAAACAGTTATAATAACACCTTGTGGAATCTGCACCAGAGAGTCACTTGCACTTGTGTGATTCATCATATACTTAGCTAGTTTTTGTCTTCTATTCAACTCAGGCCAACTTGCCCACTGTTGGTGATTTGACCCACCTGGCAATTCTTCAGTTTATCTTTTTTTTAGTGTTCTTGTTGATAACTCGTACTGACAGATTGACTCCAGTTATCCCTCTTTTTCTGGTCGTATATGTCTTTTTGCGTAAAGTGATCATACAAAGTGTTGAGCACCAGAATATTTCCCTTTCGGACTAATACAGACTGAACATCGCCACTTTAAATCGCTCAATCTTTCTTAAAAGCTGCTGCTTAATAATAACAAGATGTTGCTTAATCTCTGCTGTCTTAGTATGTAGAATCTGTCCAAACATTGGTTTTCTTTTGTTCGATCTCATAGTAATTTCCCAAATGTAGTCAAGTGGTATTACGTGCGCGTACTCACGATGTCATATGAATCGTTTGACACCAATGAGAACTTATATACATTAGGCTGAACGTTTCCCTGCCACTAATTAAGCGTTAAGTTAAAAGCAATACGAAACTAAATGTGTTTGGCTATATTTCAACATATTCCCGCATACTCGTGAATGCCATATTATAAATGCCTATTTTCCTATGATGGTCAACACGGTCGGGTATTCTACATTGAAAATTCAGAATTGAATGGAGAATTTTAGTTTTATTGCAATGCGTTTGTCTTCACCTCTTGAGTCAACCGAAACAATAAGTGGTGATTTGGCCCAATCATTTACAAACGTTGCTATGAAACCATAACAAGACTCTGTAGCAATCTATCATTTCTAATTTACAGAATAGTGTTCAGTGTAAATGTTCTTTTGTTTTTATTTATTTATTTATTTTTTTTTTTTGCTTTACTTTGTTTCTTTCACTTGTTCAAATTTTCAAAAAATTCAAAAACTGTGGATATTTAAGACATCCTTCTGTTCCGTATATATATTCAAGTTATTTGGGATTTTGCGGCAAAATTAAAAGCAAATACATTAAGCTTCATTACTGTCAAGTTTCGCTTTGTTATTTGCTCAAATTGTTAAAAGCTATCCACTCAGCAAAAGCGTTAAGTGAATTCGAAGTCAATATGTGCTTTAAATTCCATCTGCGTTTTTTTCCGTATAGACCTTTTTTTTTTTGTCACAACATCACTTACATCGCTTTCACTACAAAACTTAAGGTTACAAAATTTACATTACCAGAATTAAGGTTTCAACTAACACTTAATACATAATACATCCAGGCTTGCTTTGACGCATACCGTATATTAAATTATAACCATTTAAAGTAAGGAGAGGAGAGGCGTCCATAGTGAAATAAATTTTGTCTTTTGGCCTTTAGAATATAAAATTGATCTTTGCACAATTAACTTGTCTTTAACAAATTCAAGAAAGTGAGCAAAGCTTGGGGATTTAAATTCGATCCTTTGCAGGAAGGTGTGTCTCTTGCCAGGAAGGATGTAATAATTAAAGATATGCATTCAGTTTAACTAGATCTTCGAGATTTTTGCCGTACATTATACGCAAGTCGTCAATAAGCAAAAATTCACCACTTTGATTTTTCCACCAGCTTATTACTTCAAACCAAAATTTTTGAATTACAATACAGTTAACTAGACAATGATATTTATATTGCAATAATTATGTCTAGCTCTTTTCAGGATGAATAATCCAGGTATTCTACAGTCGCTCTGCAAAACTTTCATTCGCAAATGGGAATTTTTAATTAAGAGCACAAATACATTTAGGACTTAACGCTATGAAATAACCTTGGCACGGTTCGTACTCAATATTAAAATAATGTAAAGCAATATAAGTTGTCAGTTTCATTAGGGATGTTCAGGCTTAAGTTAACGTTGTGTATAAATTCTCCTCCTCTTAGCCAACTCGGCCATCAGATGCTTATCAGGAGAACAGATCGCGCTGGTCATTAACTTCGAACTCGTGAGCTCTCGATTTCTCGAATCTTCAGATAACTCCAACCATATATAGTGCGTCTCTCTTGGATTTCTTTTACGGAATCATTACCCTGATATTCCATGAGCTCCCGATTTCTCGAACCAATTTCCGTTTACCACGGAATTTCGAGAACTCGGGATTTCATCGTCATTCACAGTCAGCAATTATTAACATTACGCCGAAAATAATTCGCGGTTGAGACACAATGACAACCATCCTCTTGGAATTGCCATTTTGAGAAAGGCGCTTGAGTCTCCCAAGCCAAAACATAGACGCATGATTACTTATTCAGTTCTGCCGCGTTCCGGTGTATCCCAGAAATACCAAAAAATCCAATACAAATGTGATTCATAACACTTTACTGTTAACGTCACTCTGTACTTGGACCACAGTTGATAAAGCCATTCCGTATAATGCATTTTCCATCAAAATAAGTAGTCCACTTAATTGTGCTCGGCTATGATTTAGTGAAAGATAAAAATGGCAAGAAAGAAACACTGTGACACGTTGATTTGGTATATCCTTCTTATTCTGATTCAGACTTATATTGACCAAAAAATCAGCTCAGATTGACCAAAATTAGGCCAAAAGTCCGTCGCCTTAGGAAAATCGCCGTCTCGCTTTGAAAGAAGTTGTAAAAAAGTGTAGCTTACAGTGCATTTTTCGGTTTGCTAACTAGCAATCTAGGTTGAAAACTATGAGGCTTGCACGAATTAAAAGGATAAATAACAGGTTTCCTTTAAATGGTTTGTACAATCGGACTAGTGACCTGACAGGTGCTCTGTTTCAGTTTCTTGGTTGTAGGAGGATCCTGGTTGACAACGAATCGTAAAAGTGTTTTAAATCTGATTTATACTACACGAGAGCGCAAGCAAATGTAAGTAAATTTTGATGGAAAACCTAATTCTGAGATAAATTTGAGATTAGGCCCTTAACATCGAGGTCGAAATATTATTTATTCTTCGATTCGCAAGTATTAAGTATTAGCGCGCGTGTAGTCTGGTGTGTTTGAATTATTTGTCCTTGCCACGGGAATTATCATGATTGTAGCAATCGTAAATTTAGATAAAAAGTTTTGGTAACTGTTAATGCTGCTTCAAAACTACAGTTCTGTTTTCTTTTGCAGGAGTTTAAAGTTCAAAGTATGCTTCCTTCATCATTGTTTTTTCCTTTGGTCTACTCTGTTCTGTAGAAGTAAGGCCTGATATCTATTCCCATTTCTATTTATTATATAAAATACATATATTTATTTTCATTTTGTACTAGAAATCCTCGCAATTGTATAACGTTTATATTTTATTTTCTCTCTGACAGCAAATGCAGACACATTACGCATTCCTGTTGGAGGACAGCTCGTTTATGACACGACGTCAAAAACAGCAGACCTTTGCCTCTCACCGCACTTGTGTCCACCGTGTGTCCTCGATGCTCTTTGCCATCAGGACAAAAAGCCTAACCTGGGTACTACTGCCGCAACATATTCAACTGAACTGTCCTCGTCATCCACTTCACCATCCCCTACGGCAACGACATCTTCTAGTACCGGGTTAACCTCGACAGCGTCGGCTCCAACCACTGAAACCACTGCACCGACTGAAGGACCGGCCAGCAGCACACCAGCGCCGACTCCATCGAGTAGTACCACAGAGAAGACACAGCCATCAGCTTCTCAGGTGACATCCGCCACGGAAACTACGGAAGCAACGGAATCAACATACACTGCTAGTACATACCCTACAATTCCAACAACAGTTGGTGGTGGAATGGAACAGGGAGGAGGTGAGCTGTTCCTTCTTGTATTTCCGTTTTAGACATTTAAGGTATGTTCTAGAATTTTTTTTTTTTAGAGGACCCTTCTGAAAACCACCACTAGGTGATTGGAGGCCTCCTCTTAGAATATTTATTTATTGCTTATTATTTACTGTTATAAGAAGGTTTATCAATTTATAAAATTTCCTTGCATGGCGAAATAACTATTCGTATTCATCTCTGCGTTGGGTGACTCCCAAGGAGGAATGGAGTCACTGTCGACCACTCAATTTCCGATCTTTTTGTTGTGCTAGTAGTTGTTTGGTAGCATAGGTATGTTCGTAATGCCAGTCTAGTACACAATTTACCATCAACATTCAAGTTAGCATCAAATGTCCGTTTTTATTGACATTGGACATTTTCACTTTTCATTTAAGCAATGTCATTTACACTGAGAGAGAATTTCGATTCTAGTCTACTAAGCCAAAGCTTAAGTCGCACACAGCTAGGCCACTGGCCCACACCTTTGGAGCGTAACTTGGTTTCTGTAGCATGAAGCGTAGTATTTCTAAGCCGAAGTGAGCACGCAGCATCCAGTACATGATACCGTCAGGGAGGAAAAGCCAGCGAGGAAGTTGAGTGTCTTGTCAGAGTGCGACATCATGACCCCAACCAGCGCTCGAAACCTGGGCGTTTGCGCAGAATTTTCTGAGCCAGCAATTTGGCTACCTGTGTCACCCAATTTAATCTGCATGCATATCTGTAATTGAACAAGAGAGGGAAAAGAGACAGAGAAAAATGAAATCCAGTTTTTTTTTAAACATAAACTAAAAGCCTCTACTTTTGCCGTGACAGATTTTCTCCAAGTTGGCTTAAAAGAACATAACAAGTATCGTAAAATACACAATTCACCTGAATTAACTCTGAGCTCACTGCTGAACAGAGATGCACAGTCGACTGCAGAGAGAATTGCGTCTCAGGGAAAACTTGCCCACACTGACGACGTGGAGTTAAATGGACAAGGAGAAAATCTAGGGAAACTTTGTGCCACAGATGAGACTCCAGAGGAGATCATCTCAAAAGTTACGGAGAGATGGTAAGTAAGCATATCAGGATAATTTTTTCCTCACGATTTATATCACAGATTCACCATTGGTCTTGATGTTCTATAGTTAGTGGAAAGACAACTAGATTGAGTGTGGTGTCTTTAGGTACACATGTACGGCCGAGTTTCCTGACTGAGACAAGTATTTATGACTTTCAATGACTTGCCTTTAAACACTCATGACTAGCTGTTTGTGATCCCTTGGTGACCATTAACAACCCCCTCCTCTCTCTCCACTAGCTTTCAGATAAACGCTCCGCTGTTAGGAAAGTTAGAGAGATGAATATGTACATGGGCATGATTATTCTTCATGGAGAAGCCATTACATACCCAACGATCCTGGACGCCATTTTTCCCTTCACNGGAGCCGAAGGTCAAGGACTTCTGACATTATTTCATTCACCTTTTGTATTTACGAGAGCACTTTGATTTCTTGAATTTCTGGCTTAAGTAACGCAATATCTCAATGTCTGCAAAAATCTACATAAAAGAAGACTTAAGCACGAGATTTCCTTAAAGTTTAGATTCCATATAAAAGGCATCTGAATGACAGGCTGAAAAAGCGTTGTGGGTTCCATCACCTCTGGCTTCCGTTGAACTCTGAATTGCAACAACGTCACTCATTCTTAAGGTTGGGGAAGCAGTCTTCAAAATTTTATAATGAAGAATTGGATTTGATGCATATGCAAAACCTGTAAAAGCAGTCGTTAGCAGTTTCAGGGAAAGCGTAAGTTCCGACCCAGGAGCAAAAAATCGAGTAGTAATGTGACAGATTATTACTGGAAACCAGGACAGAATGAAAATAGCACCTGTTTTGTAAGTAAGTTTGGTAATTTGCGATTCGTACCTCCGATGTAGGGACCGGGACTGAGGTAAAGGCGACGAGCGAAGTCCGCTTACGACGCGAATGAATGTCACCATGATAATAAGAATGGCCGAAACATTAAAAACTGTGCCAAAGATGGTGATGTAAGCGTTAAAGAAACCTCTCGATGTGGAATAATGAGATATTAAATTGAAGGGATCGTATTGAGGGCACTGCGATTCGTCTATACTAAGCAGTATAGCAAAGACCGCAAATATAATTATAGCCATCAACCAGACAATTAGGAGAACTTTTTTCACGTTGTCAGGATGTAAACGCCGCCGGAGAGGACGACAAATGCAGTCTTGGCGATCCATCGCCATTAGTGACAATGTTATGGCGTTGACGGTACTGCAGAAGAATGATAGTACCAGACGAATTTTACACAGAACAGGAAGCTCGATCCCGTCTTGTTGTTTCATAAAGTATGTTCTTGCTGCGATTGATATAACGATTGGCATCACCACAACTGAGGACAACAATCCGATCGCCGACAGGTTAGCAAGCAAAAAGTGTGGAACTTTCCTAAGGTCACGCCGTCTTTCCAGTAAGAGAAAAACTTTGGCGTTTCCGTAAGTACCAGCGGCAAGAAAAACTGCTGTCAGAACAAAAACAGTTATAATAACACCTTGTGGAATCTGCACCAGAGAGTCACTTGCACTTGTGTGATTCATCATATACTTAGCTAGTTTTTGTCTTCTATTCAACTCAGGCCAACTTGCCCACTGTTGGTGATTTGACCCACCTGGCAATTCTTCAGTTTATCTTTTTTTTAGTGTTCTTGTTGATAACTCGTACTGACAGATTGACTCCAGTTATCCCTCTTTTTCTGGTCGTATATGTCTTTTTGCGTAAAGTGATCATACAAAGTGTTGAGCACCAGAATATTTCCCTTTCGGACTAATACAGACTGAACATCGCCACTTTAAATCGCTCAATCTTTCTTAAAAGCTGCTGCTTAATAATAACAAGATGTTGCTTAATCTCTGCTGTCTTAGTATGTAGAATCTGTCCAAACATTGGTTTTCTTTTGTTCGATCTCATAGTAATTTCCCAAATGTAGTCAAGTGGTATTACGTGCGCGTACTCACGATGTCATATGAATCGTTTGACACCAATGAGAACTTATATACATTAGGCTGAACGTTTCCCTGCCACTAATTAAGCGTTAAGTTAAAAGCAATACGAAACTAAATGTGTTTGGCTATATTTCAACATATTCCCGCATACTCGTGAATGCCATATTATAAATGCCTATTTTCCTATGATGGTCAACACGGTCGGGTATTCTACATTGAAAATTCAGAATTGAATGGAGAATTTTAGTTTTATTGCAATGCGTTTGTCTTCACCTCTTGAGTCAACCGAAACAATAAGTGGTGATTTGGCCCAATCATTTACAAACGTTGCTATGAAACCATAACAAGACTCTGTAGCAATCTATCATTTCTAATTTACAGAATAGTGTTCAGTGTAAATGTTCTTTTGTTTTTATTTATTTATTTATTTTTTTTTTTTGCTTTACTTTGTTTCTTTCACTTGTTCAAATTTTCAAAAAATTCAAAAACTGTGGATATTTAAGACATCCTTCTGTTCCGTATATATATTCAAGTTATTTGGGATTTTGCGGCAAAATTAAAAGCAAATACATTAAGCTTCATTACTGTCAAGTTTCGCTTTGTTATTTGCTCAAATTGTTAAAAGCTATCCACTCAGCAAAAGCGTTAAGTGAATTCGAAGTCAATATGTGCTTTAAATTCCATCTGCGTTTTTTTCCGTATAGACCTTTTTTTTTTTGTCACAACATCACTTACATCGCTTTCACTACAAAACTTAAGGTTACAAAATTTACATTACCAGAATTAAGGTTTCAACTAACACTTAATACATAATACATCCAGGCTTGCTTTGACGCATACCGTATATTAAATTATAACCATTTAAAGTAAGGAGAGGAGAGGCGTCCATAGTGAAATAAATTTTGTCTTTTGGCCTTTAGAATATAAAATTGATCTTTGCACAATTAACTTGTCTTTAACAAATTCAAGAAAGTGAGCAAAGCTTGGGGATTTAAATTCGATCCTTTGCAGGAAGGTGTGTCTCTTGCCAGGAAGGATGTAATAATTAAAGATATGCATTCAGTTTAACTAGATCTTCGAGATTTTTGCCGTACATTATACGCAAGTCGTCAATAAGCAAAAATTCACCACTTTGATTTTTCCACCAGCTTATTACTTCAAACCAAAATTTTTGAATTACAATACAGTTAACTAGACAATGATATTTATATTGCAATAATTATGTCTAGCTCTTTTCAGGATGAATAATCCAGGTATTCTACAGTCGCTCTGCAAAACTTTCATTCGCAAATGGGAATTTTTAATTAAGAGCACAAATACATTTAGGACTTAACGCTATGAAATAACCTTGGCACGGTTCGTACTCAATATTAAAATAATGTAAAGCAATATAAGTTGTCAGTTTCATTAGGGATGTTCAGGCTTAAGTTAACGTTGTGTATAAATTCTCCTCCTCTTAGCCAACTCGGCCATCAGATGCTTATCAGGAGAACAGATCGCGCTGGTCATTAACTTCGAACTCGTGAGCTCTCGATTTCTCGAATCTTCAGATAACTCCAACCATATATAGTGCGTCTCTCTTGGATTTCTTTTACGGAATCATTACCCTGATATTCCATGAGCTCCCGATTTCTCGAACCAATTTCCGTTTACCACGGAATTTCGAGAACTCGGGATTTCATCGTCATTCACAGTCAGCAATTATTAACATTACGCCGAAAATAATTCGCGGTTGAGACACAATGACAACCATCCTCTTGGAATTGCCATTTTGAGAAAGGCGCTTGAGTCTCCCAAGCCAAAACATAGACGCATGATTACTTATTCAGTTCTGCCGCGTTCCGGTGTATCCCAGAAATACCAAAAAATCCAATACAAATGTGATTCATAACACTTTACTGTTAACGTCACTCTGTACTTGGACCACAGTTGATAAAGCCATTCCGTATAATGCATTTTCCATCAAAATAAGTAGTCCACTTAATTGTGCTCGGCTATGATTTAGTGAAAGATAAAAATGGCAAGAAAGAAACACTGTGACACGTTGATTTGGTATATCCTTCTTATTCTGATTCAGACTTATATTGACCAAAAAATCAGCTCAGATTGACCAAAATTAGGCCAAAAGTCCGTCGCCTTAGGAAAATCGCCGTCTCGCTTTGAAAGAAGTTGTAAAAAAGTGTAGCTTACAGTGCATTTTTCGGTTTGCTAACTAGCAATCTAGGTTGAAAACTATGAGGCTTGCACGAATTAAAAGGATAAATAACAGGTTTCCTTTAAATGGTTTGTACAATCGGACTAGTGACCTGACAGGTGCTCTGTTTCAGTTTCTTGGTTGTAGGAGGATCCTGGTTGACAACGAATCGTAAAAGTGTTTTAAATCTGATTTATACTACACGAGAGCGCAAGCAAATGTAAGTAAATTTTGATGGAAAACCTAATTCTGAGATAAATTTGAGATTAGGCCCTTAACATCGAGGTCGAAATATTATTTATTCTTCGATTCGCAAGTATTAAGTATTAGCGCGCGTGTAGTCTGGTGTGTTTGAATTATTTGTCCTTGCCACGGGAATTATCATGATTGTAGCAATCGTAAATTTAGATAAAAAGTTTTGGTAACTGTTAATGCTGCTTCAAAACTACAGTTCTGTTTTCTTTTGCAGGAGTTTAAAGTTCAAAGTATGCTTCCTTCATCATTGTTTTTTCCTTTGGTCTACTCTGTTCTGTAGAAGTAAGGCCTGATATCTATTCCCATTTCTATTTATTATATAAAATACATATATTTATTTTCATTTTGTACTAGAAATCCTCGCAATTGTATAACGTTTATATTTTATTTTCTCTCTGACAGCAAATGCAGACACATTACGCATTCCTGTTGGAGGACAGCTCGTTTATGACACGACGTCAAAAACAGCAGACCTTTGCCTCTCACCGCACTTGTGTCCACCGTGTGTCCTCGATGCTCTTTGCCATCAGGACAAAAAGCCTAACCTGGGTACTACTGCCGCAACATATTCAACTGAACTGTCCTCGTCATCCACTTCACCATCCCCTACGGCAACGACATCTTCTAGTACCGGGTTAACCTCGACAGCGTCGGCTCCAACCACTGAAACCACTGCACCGACTGAAGGACCGGCCAGCAGCACACCAGCGCCGACTCCATCGAGTAGTACCACAGAGAAGACACAGCCATCAGCTTCTCAGGTGACATCCGCCACGGAAACTACGGAAGCAACGGAATCAACATACACTGCTAGTACATACCCTACAATTCCAACAACAGTTGGTGGTGGAATGGAACAGGGAGGAGGTGAGCTGTTCCTTCTTGTATTTCCGTTTTAGACATTTAAGGTATGTTCTAGAATTTTTTTTTTTTAGAGGACCCT